ATATATATATATATATATATATATATATATATATATACATATATTTTGCATTTTTAGAACAATTTAAATTTTCAAACTTTGAGGTGGTCTACACTGTTAGAAAATGGTTGAATAAAAATTTTTTTGTGTGTAATTTTACAATCTTCAAGCAATACTATCAAACACTCGTGAAAAAGATGGCAATAAAATTTTTAACTGTGAGAAAACCGTTTACTAAATGTTTTCACCGAATACTATTAAACAATCAGAATTTTATCGCACCAACTAAGCTCACTAAGCAGCCAAATGTCTGCAAAATGTATAAAGAAAAAGCATCATAATATTATTTATTTAAAACAAATTATTATAGACTCCTTTAAAACACGCTATGAAATAAACTGATATAAAATTTTAAAACAAATAATTACTCCGTGACGATTAGACTTGAAATTTTAATTTTTCAAAATGTTATAAAGATTTGTGCCAGCGCTTTGCGGAAATAAAAATGTCTAATGACTAATTTTAAAGCTCTTTAAAGACCTAGTGTCCCGAGGTGTCCCGGGTTACTTAATGACCAATACAAGTCATTTGAGGATACTGATGGATACATAAGGGCAGGGGATGAGCTGCTTAACAGGTGATGTATAGGAACTTACTAAAAGTCAAAATGAAGGAGTTTTACGATTTTCACGCTTTGTTTAGAAACATGCGCCCTGTGGTCTTAAAAAAAAAACACAACATAAACTTCGTATCTGTCACAGATTTGTGGTTGAATTTTTCTTACAGCTTGTATTTGTTTTTACTTCTTTTTTTCATTATTAAATCAAAAAATATACAGAAAGGCAATGTGTAATAGTAAGTCATCAAACAAGTTGTTCTAGTTTCCATAAAACACTGCAATATAAATTTTAAAGACTTACTGAATTCCCATTTTTTTTTCTTCTTAAAAATGTTGGGAATTGAGGGCTTTAGTGAATTCATTTTTTAAAGTTCTTTGAATTAAATTTCCATCAAGGCTAATATCTTTTTAAAAAAAAAAACAATTGCAATGCTGTTACTGTTGACTGCTGAACGTACAATGTTAATTCCTCCGAAATTACTGAAAAATATACTGCTAAAACCGCTGTTGTGTAGAGCTTTCAATTAATCAGTGCTATTCGTATAATAATGTGATTATCATTAGTTCATATAAATTCTGATCCTTGAACGAAACTGTTAATATTTTGATCATTTAATGAATCTTTGTCAATTTTGTTTCAGATAACGGAATAGTTTTGGAGCATTTTATGCATTTCGATTTTGTTCTCCGTTTTCTTATTACGTTGTTTTTCAATAAGTTTTTTACAGTATGTTTATTATTTTTGAATGATAGAAAAAATATTTTAAATTGATTGAAATTAATTATCATTTACTGAGCTTCAATTTTGAAATGAGTTTTAGACTAATATTTACTTTAGATTTAGATAAAATTTTAAAATATAAAAAAAGGTTATAAAAAAGTTCCAATTACAAGTTTATCAATCAAATTTATCAATTAAAGAAAAGTGACTCTAATTCAATCTAAATACATAATTAACACTAAATTTTAATTTATCAAAATGTCATAAATATTTGTGTCAGTTCTTTGCAGAAGTAAAGATATATGAAAAAACAAGTTTTAATAGGAATAAATTAGAAGTTCAGCATAGAACGTAATCTCTAAGGCAATATTATCAATGTGAATTCTAAACATATTATTAGAAAACTAAATAAAATTAATGATTCAGTCTTACCTAAAACTGATGATTTTTCTTTCCTTTTTCCTGATGACAGTATAGTTTAATTAGAAATCCATAGGAGTTTGTAATTCTTTTTGAAATCTACTTAAAAGTTATTTGAATTGCCTCAATTCATCAAACTGTCTCACCATACCTTCCTATTTTGGCCTAAAAAAGAATTATATGAATGAATATGTATGAAATATAAAAATATATGAAGTACAAAAAGCATCAAATACTCTAAGTTAGACAAGAGGCTTTTGAAGGTTCCAGTTATTATACAACGCATAGATAAAAATAAAATGTCATATAATTCAAAATTTCAAACGGCATGTAAGAGAAAATATCTATAAGTTTTAAAGTATTTTTTTCTTACTTCAATCACTTTGATACTTTTATTGATTAATAAAATACAGTGAAAATCAACATATAATATATTTCATATCACATAAAACATAAAATATCTTTGTAATATATAAAAGCATTTTTTAATTAGCTCATGGATATTTTTTTTACAATTTTGTAACAAAAAATTCCTTATGCTTATAACTGCGAAAAACTTAATGTTATACAGAAATATCTTCATAGATAGAATTCTTTTCTAAGTTATAATTAAGGACTTTTTGCTCAACTAAAATTTTAAGTTTTGCATAACACAAAAATAATAATATCAAAAATCCCTCAGGTTATTAAAAAAAAAA